ACTGGAGGACTAATTGCAGGGCACCGAAGAATAAACCAACCTCACTCTGTGTGCTAGGATCTGGGAGGCAGACCAGGAAGGATTACGGAATGCAAGAGCTGAGTGTGTCCCTAAGGACCTATCAGCCTTTTTTTGGATTGCCATAGTTTCCTGGTACCTGTTCAGCTGGGAATCAGTTCTAACTAAACCTATCTGGCCCTCAAGCCAGCCCATGCAATGTTGTGACATGTAGGTAGAAAATAATTGGTTTTGAAGCTGATACACATGTGTTTGTGTTGTACCTTCTCTGCTGCTGCCAAGCCAGGCAGTGATTGATGGCTGTGTGCAGGCATGTTGGTCGAACATCCAGGTCGAGAGGCTAGGCCCCAGGGTGGATACAGGCGGGATAGGGGGGAGTCACTTTTCAATAAGAGAGGCTGAATATTGCACGTCTAGCTCCTACCACACAAAGTCTGGCTTTCCAGCACTTTTGAGAAGTGCACTGCCACTATTGAGTTTTGCAGGGATATCAGTATGAGAAACTATTTGTGCTTTGAAGTCTGTTCATCAAAACAGCTTGAAAATTGCAAGGCTCTGTGTGTGTTAAATATGCTCCAATACTGGCCACAGTGACAGAAGGACTTTGTCAGCTCTTGATGTTCTACACTGTCATTCTGGAAAGGGAGGGCATTGACACACTGTTTCCAGAACTCTCTTCTTCTATTTCTTAATGCAAGTAAATGGATGACGGTTCAGAATGAGCTGGAAAATAACACCCAAAAGTCCTTGAGTAGCATTTAAGAGGTCTTGTGATCATTACAACCAGAAAAAGGGGTATGAACACGGCAATACCTGAATGGCCATAGTTTCAACACTCCTGTGACTGTGCAAAGGGGACTGGTTTTCTGCTGGTTCCTGCCCCCTCAGTTTGCTAAGATGCTGGCAGCGTCTCTGTCAAATCGCCGTTTTGCAACTGTTGACTGTAAACGGACCGCACGAACCTTAAACTGTTCATTTCATTGACTGTAAGCAACATCCTGTTCAGAGAAAAGGGGAAAAAATCATCCGAAAACGGGAGCTGCTCTGGGCCTGTCAGATGCAGTGACAAAAAATCATTTTTCCCCGATCAGCAAGGCCGACCTTAAGACTATTAATCAGCTTTGAATTTTCTGAGTGTGGGTTAGTGGGTCAGGAGTGATGAGCAGCAGCAAAGTAACATTAACATTCAAAATAACCAAACAAGAAAAATGCACCAGAACACAATCCATCCTTTTTAAAAGAAGAGAGTCAGAAGCCGTACAATAAATCAGCTATTTCTTCAGTTCCCATACTGTGTGATGTGGGATATTAGTGCAACCATTGTGATTTTGTTCCCTTTGATTACCTTCAGTATTTGTGGGTCACCTTTAATTTAGTGGAAAGGATAGGATGGTTCTTTCACACAGCTCAGACTTTGCTTCACCTTTTTAACCCCCATTTAACTGTTACAAGTTAAAAAAGTTCCAAACTAACTTTTACAATGAAGATATGTCCAGTATATGTTATACCTATTATTTAATAGAATTTCACCTTACATGTGCTGACCCTACAGCACCTATTTGTTTACCTGTAATTGCTTATACCTGAATTTATTATTATAGATAAGAGTTCAATCAGTTTATGAGTATATGGTTCTGAATAGTTTATTTCCCTATACAGTATATTAGCTTGGGCTGCATTCATCGATACAGCCGCTTACTGACTGTGGCTGGATTAGCTCAGTTCACACCGCCCCCCTTTCCCTGCTGATATCAGATCCCTGTTAAATAAGAGCGCCTCTCTGTCCCGCGACTTCAGTCGCGTCTCCAGCCCGTGGGTTTCTGCTCGTGACAGCTCGGGTTGGTCATTCTGAGAGTTTCTCACGATGGACCTGAAAGACTTCTGTCTGAGTGACAGTTTTCACATCTTCAATCAGCACAGCCAGTAAGTACTGTATTCAAGTTTCGCCTAGCATGAATGTTGTTCAGCAATATTATATACACATCAATTTCCCTACGGGATTAATAAAGTATTATCTATCTATATTAGTGCTTAAAACGTGCAGTGTTGTATACGTGAAATGTTTATTTTTATTATTATTATTATTATTATTATTATTCGTTCTTCACGACCAAGAGTGACAAATTCATACTAGATCTTCCTAAAGTCTAACGTTTAGTGCTGTTTGACATTGGTCAGCTATCAAACGAATTTACGATGCTACAATTAAACACCTGCTAACTCGTTTTTACGCATGAGTGTTTCCTAACGGAAAAATAATCGACAGTAATTTAAAGCAATTCACTTGTGCTCCGCTTTCATGTGCTTAATGAGTTTATAGGAGAAATATACTTGTTTTAACTTAGATTAAGTTGTTGAAAGTTATCAAAACTGAAGGCAATCATGTCATTTTAAGGAGTTTCTTATATTTACGCATGCGTCCACTATCATTAAAACGCGTTTCATGTACCTCTCGTAGTTTACTGAGCCGGTCGCCCATCGGTGATTCTCCGTCGTCGTGCGAGCCCAGTGTGAAGACGGAGCCCCCCAGCCCCACGTTAGCGCTGGACAGCGCCACACAGTTCAGCCCCGGCGGCTCCTCAGACAGCAGCGGCTACAGCCTGCTCTCTCAAGCGCACTCTCTCGATCCGGATTCCCCGAGTTCGTGCAGCGCCGGTAGCGGCGGCGGCGGTAGAGCCCTGCCCGACACCTGCAGCGCCCAGTTCTACCGAGCCGACAGAGCGCTGTCGCTCCCGGCCGCGGACACCCTTCTCAAGAGCGACTACGCCGCCGCGCTCAGTTCGGGACCGAAGCGGCTCTGTTTGGTGTGCGGGGACTTCGCTTCGGGCTACCACTATGGTGTAGCATCCTGTGAGGCCTGCAAGGCGTTCTTCAAGAGAACCATTCAAGGTAAAAAGCTCCTGGCGAACTTATCAGCACCTGTGCCGTGTGCCCACACCCACACCTGGTTGCGGTAAGCTCTAACGACTAAGGTCGCCAAAGGCATGATTTGTAAAGCTCGGAATGATCTCGCACTTTGTTCTGCCCATATTCCAACCTTTTTTTCTTATCCCTTTTGTTAGTTGACAGTCGCCTGTTTTTGTATTCGTTTTTGCAGTGAATACAGCAAGCGAGCTAGCATCGGTGACGGAAAACTATAAAAAAATAAAAGTATCGTATGTGCAGCGAAGCTGAAGAGTGAACAACTTGACGATATAATCACTGAACTCATGAAAGGGGGCTGTAACATTACGTGCCTGCGCTGTTCATAATGCGGGACATTTAGTTTTTAAGTAGCTTATGGAATATTTTCGACCAATACAGCAGACGCCTAATTATGCTCCCTCCCTGGGAGAAAAAACAACAAAAGTGTGTCTGGCCCAGAATTGATCCACAGAATGCTTGCCTAAATCTGTGAGAAGGTTTCAGGGCACAGAACAATTGTGGAGATCTTAATTAATAAAGCAATCAATAATCTATTAGAGGGAACTAAGTAAATGTCCCAGATTTTGAATCCAAATCAGATTTCCAATGGGGTTTTTTTCCCAGACAGCCTGGAACTCTTCTGTGCAATTGATTTTCCTGTGAAGCCTCTGCGTGCTACATGTTGGGAGACTGCCTAGGTCATTCTTAAAAAAAACAACAGGACCAGTGCCCATCAAATGTCAGAAAGCTTTCCGAACTTAATAAATCAACTTCTTAGTCAACCATCTGTCAAGACGTTGAAGTGAAACGCAGAGGCCAAGTGATTTTGCAGTTCTCTGCAAGTAACGTACTGTAGCTCTGTGGTTTACCCCTAATTCAGTCCTAATGGTTCCAGTTTTACCCAGCTGTAGCCAGTTCTACAGTCTAATCAAACTACTCTTAAACTGGCTGAGGGAATCGAGGCTGTTTGTATCGAGTGCATTGTCATGATGCCCTAGGAGATTCCTTCCCATGTGATAATGGAGGAAGACAAATTAAATCTTCATCGTTCTGTTTTCCGATCACAAGTCCAGCTGGCCATCTGTGTTCCTGGCCACAGTCCCATGTCAAAATCAGAGTGAACAACACAGTGAGGAACTAAAGGGAACTGCTTTCCTTAATCACAAAGATGAAATTATTCTGCATATTCCCATCATAGAGTCCATGGCATTTATTTTCCTGGAAAGATCCCATTCCTTCAGCTTTGAGAACATGCTCTGAGCTGCTTGCGGTTCTAGTATCTTAAGAATAACCCCAGCCTTCCTTCGTTTTTCCATTAACAAAGGGATTTAAAATGTAAGGAACAGGTACAGTGCACCATTTTAGGAGAGCTCCCTGAAAATTTGATCCCTGGGATTGTGATCCCAGTATGCTAGAGTCTTACCCACCATCAAAACATGAGATCCCATCAATCGTAGCTCTCCTGCTGCAAAACTGTGAGCCACTTGTCCATCTGGGGCTTAGCAGCCAGGCAAAAACAGTCAATAATCTATTAAAAACAACCTTTTTGTCTCGTGATCCTGGATTTCAGTGCTGAAAAGAATTCGCCGGTCGTGGTGTGACAGTGCTGATCAATATTTGTATTTGGCCCGGAGTTCCTATGGATTTCTGTGTGAAAACTCAATGTGCAGAGTAGCATGGCCAGAGCAGGATATGAACTGAAAAGGAACCATAGAATGTCTTTCAATTAGCAACCATGTTAGCTCAAGCAAACAGGTTAATGAACAGGAAGTAAGTCAAATACAACTTGATTGGCCTACAGACACCATCCAATTAAATAATATTCTGTGTTGTGTTCTTGATGAAGGAATATGTCCCATACTATGCAAAGGAACAAGTTAAAGGTTCATTCTATGCTGAAAAAAGAAGAAAGGAAATACAGTGTTTCGGCTGTGGAGCCTTCTTCAGGTGTGAGGCTCCACGGCTGAAATGTTGTTTCCTTTCTTCTCTTTTCAGCCTAGAATAAACCTTTAACTTGTTCCTTTGCAGCCTACACATGTTGACACAGCTACAGCACCTACTTGAACTGTCCCATTCTATCATAACAGTACAATCCTAGATGCAAACTGTCTTACTTCTTAGTCTGTCCTTTTCACCTGAATCGTTGTTTTTTCTACAGGTTATATTTTGGAAGTTATAGGCGTAGCACTATTTTAGGAGATGTAAATCACTTTATAAGCACATTGCAAACACAATTATCAGTGAAGTTGCTGTTGATAGAGCACAGTGTAAATGACAAATATCTGACTTCAGTTAACAGCCATACTGTAAATAGAATGTATGCTGTATAGATCTTCTCTAGGTATTATGGATAGAGGTTTGAGCTGAATTTGCATGGTTTATGTTGAGGAATTACTGTTATAGAATGATTCCGTGTACTTTCTTTTGTGTGTCACCTGGCCAGGTAACATCGAGTACAGCTGCCCAGTGATGAACGAGTGTGAGATTACCAAACGCAGAAGGAAGTCCTGCCAGGCCTGTCGCTTTCGGAAGTGCCTGCAGGTGGGAATGATGAAGGAAGGTGAGGGTCTCTAATGTCTCTCCCTTTACCCGGAACCTCTGCAACTCAGCTCTGCTGTCCCCATAAGTGGCTATGTCACCCAGTCATTTGCCTCTGTCTCTCCTCC